TTGTCTTCTATAGCACGAAACCAACTCTCTCTTTGTTTCTCTTCGAGTAGTGGTGAAAGGAAAGCATAACGTAGGGAAAAGAAACGTTCATGAATACTCTAATAAAGCATTAATGCAAATTCAGGACTATGGTGCTTAAGCTGTAATTACTCGATAAGATCTTCTTCATGAAATTAAATAAATATAACTTTGAGAAAAATAAATTAAATAAAGATATTCTTATTATTTTTAACGGGTAATATATTTTATTCTTTTTCTCACACTCATGTCTTTCTCTTTTTTAAAAATAAATTTCATTAAATAATTATAGATTTTATTAGTTACGGCTTGAGTAGTTTTGTATTAAAAAAATTCTCCTATTCAATTTAACCGCGCACTCAAAAAGAATTTATATTACTTCTCTCTTTGGAGCTTTCAATACATTCAAATTCACCCACCCAACAAAAAAAAGTCATATTTTCACTTGCAAAACTACAATCCTATTACCTTCTATGCTAACACCAAAGTTTTCTAAACACAAGAAAGTTCCTAATTTTTTTTTAAAGAAATATTTTAGAACATTTTTCTTTCAATTTAATCATTTTATAACTTAATTAAAAAAAATTATTTTGAAATTATGATCAAACTACCAAATTAAAAGAAAAAAAATTAAAATGTAAAACATAGAGAAAATAAATGTCTAATCCTAAATTCTTGATAATTTTTTTTTTTGTCAAAAGTTTATTTTGTTTATTTTTGAGTTACTGACTTTCAAGGATGAAAAAGAAAGTACTTGGTTTGACCGCTTATCAATAATAAAATTTATTATTTTTTATGTTAATAAATTTTATTTGATAAAAAAAGTTTGATGGTAGTGAATTTTTTTATATAAATATGCATAAGAAGAAGATCAAGTTTTGTTTTGATTTTTTTATTTTGATTTTTATTTTTTTTGGTTGATTTGAGTTTTTTGCGGTTGGTAGATGTTTTGGGGAGGTTTTTATGTTATTTATTAGCTATTTTTTTTGGTGAAAATATGTTGAAAAGTGATTTTTCAACTCAAAAAACTCTAGTTAGTCTATTATATTATCATCTTTATATTTTTTTGAAAAAAATTTTATCTTAATTTTTTTTTTAATATCAAATCATGTTGTTATCAATTGTTTATGTTGCCTTTCAATCTAATAAATCAACTAGATTAAATTGATATAACTTTTATCTGATTTAATTTAAAATTTAAACCAAACAATAAGTCACTTTAAAAATATTAAAATTTAATTTATTAAACCTAATTTAATAATAATACTAAAAAAATTTTTATGCCTATAAATTAATTTTTTGTATTCAATTTTTTTTACCCCTCCCGTAGCTAAAGCGGACGGCTTGCTAGTATAATCCTAAAAGATTCACTTCATTCCTAAAAATTCAGTTCAGCATTTTCACTTGCAAAACTACAATCCTATTACCTTCTATGCTAACACCAAAGTTTTCTAAACACAAGAAAGTTCCTAATTTTTTTTTAAAAAGAAATATTTTAGAACTTTTTTCTTTCAATTTATCATTTTATAACCTAATTAAAAAAAATTATTTTGAAATTATGATCAAACTACCAAATTAAAAGAAAAAAATTAAAATGTAAAACATAGAGAAAATAAATGTCTAATCCTAAATTCTTGATAAATTTTTTTTGTGTTAAAAGTTTATTTTTTTTATTTTTGAGTTACTGACTTTCAAGGATGAAAAAGAAAATACTTTGTTTGACCGCTTATCAGTAATAAAATTCATTATTTTTTATGTTAATAAATTTTATTTGATAAAAAAAGTTTGATGGTAGTGAATTTTTTTATATAAACATGCATAAGAAGAAGATTATTTTGATTTTTTTATTTATTTTTTTGGTTGATTTGAGTTTTTTACGGTTGGTAGATGTTTTAGGGAGGTTTTTATGTTATTTATTAGTTATTGTTTTGGTGAAAATATGTTGAAAAGTGATTCTTCAACTCAAAAAACTCTAGTTGGTCTATTATATTATTATTTTTATATTTTTTTGAAAAAAAATTTATTTTAATTTGTTTTAATATCAAATCATGTGTTATCAATGGTTTATGTTGACTTTCAATCTAATAAATCAACTAGATTAAATTGGTATAACTTTTATCTGATTTAATTTAAAATTTAAACCAAACAATAAATCACTTTAAAAATATTAAAATTTAATTTATTAATCCTAGTTTAATAATAATACTAAAAAAAATTTTATGCTTATAAATTAATTACTAGCTAA